AGACACTTTATCAAAGAAGATATACAGAAGACAAATATACACATGAAAAGATACTCAACCTCTTTAATCTTATTTATTTATTTATGGAGATGGAGTCTCACTCTGTCACCTAGGCTGGAGTGCAGTGGTGTGATCTCAGCTCACAGCAACCTCCACCTCCTGGGTTCAAGCGATTCTCCTGCCTCAGCCTCCCGAGTAGCTGAGATTACAGGCACACACCACCATGCCCGGCTTTTTAAAAATATATGTTTAGTAGAGATGGGGTTTCACCGTTTTGGCCAGGCTGGTCTCAAACTCCTGACCTCGGGTGATCCACCCGCCTTGGTCTTCCAAAGTGCTGGGATTACAGGTGTGAGCTACCTCACCCAGCTGACCTCATTAATCTTTAGTGAAATGCAAATTAAGATCACAATGAGGCCGGGTGCAGTTGCTCATGCCGGTAATCCTAGCACTTTGGGAGGCCAAGGTGGGCGGATCACCTGAGGTCAGGGGTTCAAGACCAGCCTGGACAACATGGTGAATCCCTGTCTCTACTAAATATACAAAAATTAGCTGGGTGGGGTGGCACACACTTGTAATCCCGGCTACTCAGGAGGCAGAGGATGCAGTGAGCTGAGATTGTGCCACTGTACTCCATCCTGTGCAACAGAATGAGACACCATTAAACACCTCTAAGGATCGTCTGAAACTGAGAAGACCATATCAAATATAATCAAGGATATGGAGTAACTGGAACTGTGATGCACTGTGGTAGGAATGTAAAATGGTACAACTGACTTGGAAAACAATCTAGAAGTTTCTTAGAACGTTTAACATGCATTATAGTCGTCTCTCCATATCTGCTTTGGAACCTGTGGATACAAAGGGCTGACTGTACTACCTCTATTTATTTATTTATTTATTTATTTATTTAGAGATTCTGTTTTGCTTTCACCCAGGCTGGAGTGCAGTGGTGTGATCTCGGCTCACTACAACCTCCGCCTCCCGGGTTCAGGCAATTCTCTGCCTCAGCCTCCTGAGTAGCTGGGATTACAAGTGCCTGCCTCCATGTCCGGCTAATTTTTTTGTATTTTTAGTTGAGATGGGGTTTCACCAAATTGTCCAGGCTGGTCTTGAACTCCTGACCTCGTGATCCACCCATCTCAGCCTCCCAAAGTGCTGGGATTATAGGCATGAGCCCCTGTGCCCGACCACTACCTCATTTTATATGAGAGATGTAAGCGTCTGGGAATTTGATATCCAAGGGGAGATGGAGTCCTGGAACCAATCCCCTGCGGTGGCTGGAGAGCCGTACTTATCATTTGACCTAGCCATTCTACCCCTTAGTATTAACACAAGGAAAATTAACATGTATATTTCCATACAAAGGTTTGTTCATCAGTGTTTATAGTGACTTTGTTTATAATAGCCAAAACCCAGCATTATCCCTAATGTCCACCAGCATATGAATGGATAAACAAATTGTGTTATACCCATATAATGGATTAGTATTCAGCACTAACAAATAGTGAAGTACAGATACATGCAAAAATAGGGACAAATAATTATTTTTGTGCTTAAATAATTATGCTGAGTGAAAGAATCCTGATTAAAAATAATCTTTGTGATTCCACTCGTATATATAATTCTAGAAAATATAAACTGATCTATAGCAAGAGAAAGCAGATCCTTCGTTGCTTGGGAATAGAGGGCTATGGGGAAGGGCAAAGGGAGGAAGACCAAGGGTCACAGGAAACTTTTGGTGATGATAGATATGCTCATTGGCCTTTTTTTTTTTTTCATGAGACAGGATCTTGCTTTGTTGCCCAGGTTGGAGTGCAGTGGTATGAACGTGACTCACTGCAGCCTCGACTTCCTTGGGCTCAAGCGATCCTCATGCTTCAGCCTCTCAAGTAGCTGGGACCACAGCCATGCACCACCATGCTTGCCTAAGTTTTGTATTTTTTTAAGACATGGTGGCTCGCCATGTTGCCCAGGCTGGTCTCAAACTCCTGGGCTCAAGCAGTCCTCCTACCTTTCCCTCCCAAAGTACTTTGACTACAGGAACTACCACCTCCCCTGGCCCATTTGTTATCTTTATTGTTGTGGTAATGTTATGGATGTGTGCTTATGTCAAAATGTATCAAATTATATACTTTAAGTATGAGCAACTTATATGTCTATTATGCTTCAATAGATCTATTTTTAAGCAAACTTAGGAAAGTACAATGTGTACTAAATCAGATTACAAAATCATTGTGTTTTTTGTTCATAAAGAGAATTGTTGAGACACATATTCATGTGCCTACATGGTATCTCCAGTGGGATATTTTTTAGGCATCTCCAGACTGAAATCCCTGAAGCTAAACTCTTTAAAATTAATCTCTAACTTCTTTTCCTCCTTTCCTCTCTATTCTGGTTTTGTTTTCTTGTGTTTTTTTTTTTTTTTTTTGCATCTTTATAAATAGTATGCCCATCTCCCCGTTTTTCATGCAAGAAGCTAGGAAATCATCTTTGTTATTTATGTTACCCTCTTATCTACTTTATCACCAAGTTGTGTCATTGAGAGCACATTTCAAATTTGTAATCTCGTCTTTCACCACTACCATTACCCCAGTTCAAGTCATCATCCTCTCACTAAAAGTCCCTTGGTGTTATTCTTGACTCCCCTCAATCCAGTGATCAGAAAACAGCCACAGCAGATCTTTTCAACGATTTGCATTGCTCTTAGGATACAATCTAAAATCATTTTAATATGATCAGTTCCTCTTTTCCTCTTGCTTATTATGTTCTGACTACTGTTATAAATAAAGTTTCAATGCTGCAAAAAAAATAGCACTCAAACATAAAATTTTCTTTTTAATTCTCAGCGAGGCAAGGTACTTCTATAGAAGGGTGCGCCCTTATAAATGGAGCAATGGTGGGCACCCAGTTGGACGAGGGAGGGGAAGGGGTTCTTATTCCTGATGCATGTAGCCCCTGCTTCTGTGTTGTTCCCTTATTGGCTAGGGTTAGACCGCACAGGCTAAACTAATTCTGATTGGCTAAGGAGAATGACCGGGTAAGTGGTTTGGCGGGAAAAATGGGTATGACAGAGCAGGTAATCAAAATGAGTCAGGATGGAGTAGGTAATCGGAATGAGTCAGGGTGGAGCAGGTAATCGGAATGAGTCAGGGTGGAGTAGATAATCGGAATGAGTCAGGGTGGAGCAGGTAATGAAAAAGCTTGCTTTGGCCGGGCGCGGTGGCTCAAGCCTGTAATCCCAGCACTTTGGGAGGCCGAGACGGGCGGATCACGAGGTCAGGAGATCGAGACCATCCTGGCTAACACGGTGAAACCCCGTCTCTATTAAGAAATGCAAAAAACTAGCCGGGCAAGGTGGCGGGCGCCTGTAGTCCCAGCTACTCAGGAGGCTGAGGCCGGAGAATGGCGTGAACCCGGGAGGCGGAGCTTGCAGTGAGCTGAGATCCGGCCACTGCACTCCAGCCTGGGCGACAGAGCGAGACTCCGTCTCAAAAAAAAAAAAAAAAAAAAAAAGCTTGCTTTATGAGGAAGTTAAGTTTATAAGTAGAAGGCAGAGAATTGAACATACTGACATATTGATTCTTTGAAAAGAAATTTAGAACTCATAATACTACACTGGCTGCATTTCAGTTTCTTGAAATCTCCAAACTCTTTTTACTACAGGATTTTCTCACATGGTATTTTCTGAACCTGCACTAGTATTTTTTTTTCCTCCCTTAATCTTTCAGTAGCTACTTCAGTCTGTGCTTCAAGTGTCAGTTTAAATGCCTCTTCTTCAGAGAGACTTCTTCCTGACTTGCTCAATCTAAATTGGAACCCACACCAGTACCCTGTAGGTTTTCTTCATAGCTGTTATTCAGGGTGTTTTGCTTCTGGGTTTTTTCTTTTTTGGAGGGAGGAGGTGTTAAGTTGGATGTATGGATGTTGGATTATTTGTTCCTGTAGTGGTCTGAAAAAGTCCTTGAAAGTTGATATCATGTATGTTTTGTTCACTGCTGCGGGTGGCCACCATCCAGCTTTCCCTGGTGCAATCAACATTTGTTGAGTGAATGTTTAGAGAAAATGTGTTGGAAGTAAATATATCAGTGGTTGCCTTTGAGTGGTGCATGTTTGGTTTTGTAAGATTACCACAGTGAGCCATAATAACTTTCATATCAGAAAAGTTATAAAGTATCTCTGTAACTTTGTGTATACTGTTTGCCTTTACTAGAGAGGAAAAAGCAAATGATGTTTTGGAACTTTGGATTCTTGCTCTTGATACTGTTAGAATATTAGTTACTTGATATATTACTTGCCTTTTCATATTTCTGAGTTGTGCAGGCATAGGGAGCACAGTTTATATTGTATTGTTTATGAATGGGAACTTCTGGATTAGTGTGAAGCAGAGACTCTTCTTTTAGTACCATTTTTAGGTATAGTTTGCCTGGAACTGTGTTTATGCTTCTCTCCTGGATTGCCTACAATGTATATACCATCTTGCGCCCTTTAGCTTAGAAAGTCTTTCTGTATGTCTCTGTTTTTGTCACATTTAAAAAAATAAGTCACCTTTAGGATATATTGCATTCTTTATCATAGTTTTGACCAATGTCAACTTAGGAGAAATTTAAGATTTTTTGAATTCTTAATATTAATCTCTGACAACTCTGGGGCTGGGCATTTGGTGAATATCCTCTAAACTTTTTAAATTTTTACTGAAAATCACATATTTCTGTTTTCAGAAATTTAAAAGCCGTAGGTATCTTTTTCTTGTAATTCTCCACACTGCTTCAGAAATGGTAATAGGTTTAGTCCTTCCAGGTTCTTCAAGTATAATTTTCAGAGAATTACTAACGTGACTGAGTAGCTTAGTATATTTATTTTTTACCCATACTTTAAATGAACTTTTTCTCACCTAGCAATGCTTTTTATAATTTTGTTTGTATTCTTTTACTTTTTAAGATGTCCTTTGTTAATGTTATTTTGTTTCTATAATAAATGTATGCCAACTTTTTTAACAGATAAAATAATTAGGCACAGGGCTTGTACCCTGAAGGACACTGCACATGCTATCATTGCGGCTGAATTAGATCCAGAATTTAATAAACTTTGTGAGGAAATTAAGGAAGCAAGAATAAAAAGAGGTAAGTTGTAGAAATAAACTTGGCCCTGAAGCCTCGTGTGCTCTGTTGAGGCCAAGAGTCCTTCAATGATGTTTCTTTAGGGTTGCTGGTATTATGAAAGTAATGTATTTAATGTATGTATTTAATTTCTGATACTAATGTGTTATGTAAATTCTCAAAGATACTTTCCAACTTTACCTACTGTGAAAGTTTTAGTGTGATAGTGAGTATTACAGAAATGAAGTGTTTCTTAGTGAAATTTGTTTTGTAGGAGCATATCTTTTTTAAGAATTGATTTCTAAATGGATTTAGATATGAGATATGGAAAGGTTTTATTTTTCATCAGTTTACTTTCTGGTACTTTTTTTTTTTTTTTGAGACGGAGTCTTGCTCTGTCGCCCAGGCTGGAGTGCAGTGGCCGGATCTCAGCTCACTGCAAGCTCCGCCTCCCGGGTTCACGCCATTCTCCTGCCTCAGCCTCCCGAGTAGCTGGGACTACAGGTGCCCGCCACCTCGCCCGGCTAGTTTTTTGTATTTTTTAGTAGAGATGGGGTTTCACCGTGTTAGCCAGGATGGTCTCGATCTCCTGACCTCGTGATCCACCCATCTCGGCCTCCCAAAGTGCTGGGATTACAGGCTTGAGCCACTGCGCCCAGCCTACTTTCTGGTACTTTAAAAACATGTTTAGGAATACTGTTTTTCCCACCCTAGTGAAATTTATATGCAATTTTGTTATTAGAAACACAGAATTAGCAATTGTGGTTTGTCGATTCAGTTTATAATCTTGTCCTTGAGGAACTCACATTTTAGTAGGAGAGAGAGAAATGTAAAACAAATCAAGTACAGTGTGTTGTATGCACTGGTTGAAGCATGTTCAGATCACAGAGACGAGAGACCTCCTAGTAGGGAACCAGAGTAAGGAGTGAATATAGAAGTGTTCTCTTTAATGGACTAGGGAGGCAGTGACAGAGGAGGAGGAGGTGTATTGCAAACAGAGAAAACAATAGCATATGTAAAGGCACACAGGTGTGAAATAGCTTGATGTGTGTTAGAAGATCTTTAAACTGGTATTGCTAAAGATATACAGAATGCTGGAAATAGGGCTCAAGAGGTGCGGGGTCCAGGACACAAAGATTATGAAGAAACTTTTCTTCTGCCTTTTTAGAGAGCTTTTCCCTGACCACCTAATCTAATAGAGGCTTTGGTAGCATTTGGCATTATATTATTATTATTTTTTTTGTCATGTCCTCCTTATTTAGGGTATCAGTACTTCAGATGTCTTGTTTATAGCTTTACTTCAATCCCTAGAACCCAGTCTGATATAAAACAGGTTTTTGGTAAATATTTGAATAAATCAATGCCATGCTAAGGAGTTTGTACTTTATCTTGTAGATCAGTGTTTTCAAAAATGTCTGCCTATTACCATTAGCTTAGACCTATGAATTAGATTCTCTGAGAATATTAAGGCCAAGAAATCTTTATTTGAACAAACTACCTAAGAGATTTTATGTACACTACAGTTTGATAGCCATAGGCAATAGAAATAATTGAAGGATTTTAAGCAGTGAAATGAATTGGTCGAATTGCCTTGGTAGGAAGAAGTAGCATAGTTCCAATGTGCCAGGGTAGGAAGATGAGAGATCAGTTTAAAAGCTGTTGGAGCCCATTTGAAAAGGGTTTGGCAATTTCTAAAAAATTAAACATGGATTTACTATATGACCCAGTGATTCTACTCTTAGGAATCTACCCAAGAAAAATGAAAATACATGTCCACACAAACACTTGTATGTTCATAGGACCATTGTTTATAATAACCACAAACTGGAAACATCCCAGATGTCTGTCAGCTGGTGAATGGGTAAGGAAAGCACAGGATACCCATATGAGTGCGTACTACTTAGTAATAAAAGGGAACAGAGTGCTGATACACAGTACAACATGGACAAATTTCAAAAACATGCTGGCTGAACATGGTGGCTCATGCCTGTAATCCCAGCATTTTCGGTGGCAGAGGTTGGAGAATCGCTTGAGCCAAGGAGTTTGAGACCGGCCTGGGCAACATGGCGAGATACCATCTCTACAAAAAATGAAAAATATTAGCTGGGTGTGGTGGTGTACACTTGTGATCCCAGCCATTTGGAAGGCCGAGTTGGGAGGATTGCTTGAGCCCAGAAGGTTGAGGCTGCAGTGAGCCATGTTCATGCCACTGCAGTCCATCCTGGGTGACAGAGCAAGATGTTGTCTCAACAAAAAAAACCCCAAAACATTATGCTAAATAAAAATAGCCAGACCCAGAAGACTACATATTGTATGATTTCTTTTATATAAAATGTCCAGAAAAGGCAAGTTTACAGAGACAAAAAGTGGAGTAGTGGTTGCCTGGGACAGTTATCTAAAATTGGATTGCTGTGGTAATTTTACAACTCTGTACATCTACTAAAAACTATTTACTGTACACTTAAAACAGGTGATTTTTATGTTATATAAATTGTATCTCAGTAAAGCTGTTGGGGAACAAAAATGAAGTAGGAAGGGAGATAGAAGAGATTAATGTAAGTGATATGTAGCTGCAGGGATGGAGAGCACTGTGAAGTGAAGGAAGAGTAAAAACTGGCTGTGATATTGCTGGTTGAGTGACTTAGTAGATGCTAATACTCCCAATCTAGATAGGGAATATATAGGAATGAACTGTTTTGTTTTGTAGGGAAAGATAAACCAGTTATCTTTAATTTGATCTATAGGAAATTCAGTTGGAGATATTAACTAAGGAGTTGTATATATAGATCAGAAGTTGTATATATGGATCAGAGATGTTTGGGCTAAAGATACAGATTTGAGAATTATTGTATAATAGTAATCAAACCTGAACACGATACTTTGTTGGGGAACGTGTAGATTAGAGTAAGAAGAAAAGTGGTTACAGAGAGAACCTGAAGAAAAACCAACTTAAGGACCACATAGAAGAAATAAATCTCTAGTGAAGAAAATTAAGATAGAATGATTAGTCTTAGGATTATAATGCAGGTGAACCAAACTGACTGCTGTGTGGTGCGACAGGAAGCAAATAGCATTTTGAAACAGTTCGTGGGAATGGGGTTTAGTGGCCCAGTAGACTGTTGTACATTCTAAGATGGCAGAGATCATGTTTTTGGATAATGTATAATCTTATTGTTCCACAGTCATAATAATGTAAAATGTGCCCCTTTGTGAATTAAAATGAATAAAAATAGGGCCCCTTTGGGCATTAAGGGTAAACATGGCCTGCCAGATTGTTTGATTTTTATGATTTTGTATCTAAGTTTCTTACCCATCTTAAAACAAAAGACAATGCTTTCATTGGAATTGCAAACTGCCCAAGTATAACTAATGACTTTAAAACTCAGTTTTGTATTTGAGATTTTTTAAAAACCTTTTGGTTTATGTAGCTGGGAATATTTAAAGAGGTATTGCTTATCTTCTGCTTGCAGGCTTATCAATAACATCAGAACAAATAAATCCTCATAGTACTGGAGCTCGGAAGACAGAAACTAGAGTTGAAGAGGCATTTCGGCACAAACAAAGAAATCCAATGGATGTCTGGCACAACTCTGCAAATAAATGTGCATGTGAGTATTTGAGCTCATGTTATCCAGTAGTGAGAACAACTGAGAATGATGTAGATATGTTAGGAATTTGGTACAAACCAAAGTGCTGCTGTTTTCCCACAGCTCTTTTAATCTCTTTTCAGAGGTGAAGAAGAGCTTGTGGGGTAAATGCTGAATCAGAAATATATTTCTTTAACTCTATTTGATGTTTTCTATCCCTATTCAATATTATTTGCTGTGACAGTTGGACTAGGCTTGAATATTTTCAGTTTTAAACTTTAGTTTTCGGATAGCTATGTGGAGCCAGTAGAATTTTTATCCGCCCCTGTCCTTATCCTCCACTCCTCCTTTTTTTTTGAGATGGAGTCTGGCTCTGTCGCCCAGGCTGGAGTGCAGTGGCGTGATCTCGGCTCACTGCAAGCTCCGCCGCCTCCTGGGTTCACGCCATTCTCCTGCCTCAGCCTCCCTAGAAGCTGGGACTACAGGCGCCTGCCACCACACCCGGCTAATTTTTTTGTATTTTTAGTAGAGACGGGGTTTCACCGTGTTCTCCAGGATGGTCTTGATCTCCTGACCTCGTAATCTGCCCGCCTCGGCCTCCCAAAGTGCTGGGATTACAGGCGTGAGCCACCGCCCCTGGCCCCTCCACTCCTTCTTGTACACAATGCAGGATATTCTCCTTAGGGTGGGAAATGGACACTCCTGCGTGTGGGTGTGTCTTATCTGGCAGCAGGAAATTGATTTTTCTGAGAGACTACTTTGTGTTCAGTGTGAAAAATTGGCACAGCCTTCTTTGTAGTTTTTGTGAGATGTATTTAACGGGAAAATTCGGAGATTTTTTGTACTCATTCAGCGTCTTTCTAATAGCGTCCTTCTGTTTCACTGAAGATAGCCTTCCTTGGAAGATACATGCTGTTATTCTGGTATAAAGGTGATAATCCAGGTTAAGTTCCCTTATCCAAAACGCTTGGGACCCACAAGCGTTTTGGATTTTGTATTTTTTTGGATTTTGGAATATTTGCATTGTACTTAACCGGTTCAGCATCCCTAATCCAAAAATCAGATATCTGAAATGCTCTAATGAGCAATTACTTTGAACGACATGTCAGTGCTCAAAAAGTGTTGGATTTTGGATACGCAACCTGTACTATGTCAGTAAAGCTAGCTATAATATGTGGCATTGAATTTGAATGAATAAACTATACCCGTCTTTTTAAAGCTTGTCCCCTTTTGGTAAGTGGCATTTGTATGTGAGAAAGTTTGAGAAAGGACTTAACGATGCCATGAAACTGATTAAGCCTGTTTGGCCTAGTTGTATTTCAGATAATGACTTGGATTGTGTAGCATAGTACTTACTCTCTTTAAACTTTGAAATTCTTTCCATTCTATGCATCTGCTACAAATATTGATGAATGAAAATGCATTGAATATTCACTTTAAGAAGTTTTAAGTGCCTTTAAATATTTTAAAAACTGTTTGAATCTACTAATATGAGTTTTGTTTTCTCTTACCAGTAGATGGCATATGTGACCCATCATTTTTCTGTTTTACATTAACTTAAATAATAAATCTGAATGTCCCTAAGGCATAGTTGCTTTCCTAAGGCCTTGGTTTTGGAAACAAACTCAGTGATGCTATAAAAAATTGACTCTAAAGATCGTGTCTCTAAATGGACTTTTCACACAGAGCACCCTGATGAAGGAAGTGGGTGTGTATGTGTGTGTATGTGTGTGTATATGTGTGTGTGTGTTTATGTGTATATATATAATTATTTGTTTTTTCTTGAGACAGAGTCTCTCTCTGTTGCCCTGGCTGGAGTGCAGTGGCACAGTCTTACCTCACTGCAACCTCCGCCTCCTTGGGTTCAAGCAATTCTCCCACCTCAGCTTCCCAAGCGACTGGGACTACAGGCACCCATCACCACGCCTGGCTTATTTTTTGTATTTTTAGTAGAGATGGGGTTTCACCATGTTGGTCAGGCAGGTCTCAAACTCCTGACTTCAAGTGATCCGCCTGCCTTGGCCTCCCAAAGCTCTGGGAGTACAGGCGTGAGCCACCGTGCCTAGCTGGAAATGATATACTAAGCATTAGGTCCACAAATACTCGTATATACTCTTGCCACATGCCAGGTACTGTGAAGATGCATCAGTGACTAAAACAAAAATCTCTTCTTGTGGAGCTAATGTGATCTGTTTCTCTTATTTTGCCAAAATTATACCAACCATTAGAAATAATTATGTAAGGAAGAGAAAAATACCTCTAGTCCTACTTCCCAAAGATTAAGAACATTTTCTCTTACATATTAGCCAGGATGAAAGCATCCTGGAGTAACTTGCTTCAGTGGGGCTCCCAGCCTTTGCTTATGTACTGCATGTCAGGTAGTTGAGGTGACTCTTGATTGAGCAGAGTTCAGCTTCATTTTGCTCTAGTTTCATGGCTTAGGAAAGAAAAAGGGGACCTATTGTACTTTCAGTTACATGGTTGGAGAATAAGAGAGGTTACAGTGTCAGGAATGGCCTATCGGGTGGTAAAAACCTAATACTCTAACTTTCAGAGTCAGAGCAAGCTGAATGCTTTTTATTTTTTATATGGACTAGATTAGTTTTTCTTCTAGCTAATGGGATGTTTACAAATGCCTATCACCTGAGCCTGTGTACCGGATTTTAACAGTAGATTAATACAGAAATTTTCTTCTCTATGATAATTACCCTGTAACTTTAAATTATATAAATAGAAATAAATAGGGGAAAAGAATGAAGAGTTAGTGCTAACAGGATTACAGTTTTGAAGGAAAAATACATGTTGAGCCAAATGACTAAATAAGAGAAACCTTTAGAAGATACATTCTTAGGTAAGAAAGGAGTAATATTTATAAATAAATTTATCCATTTCTTGTGAATTTACAAAGATGCAGCAGGGATTAAAGATGAAAGGATAAAAGAAGTATGTAAATACGCTATATACTGTTGATAGATTCTAAATTCATATTAAGCAGTGTGAATATAAGAAACAAGGGTTGTCATTAAAAGACTATATTCCTTTCTGTCTCTATAAAGCAATTTTTAAATTACAGATTAAACAGCCTACAGTTAATGATTTCATATTTATATTTTCTTTAAAAAATATCTTTGCCCAGGAAGCTTTTCAGCTTTGATGTATTAAACATATATAGTCTTTTTTTAAAGTTAAAATTATTACGTTCATAACCACAGAAAAAATGAATATTTTTATTCTCTGATACTTTCAACAAACTAGTATTTAGAATTTGGGGTGTGATACCAGAAGTGATTCAGCTCTAGCTTAAGTGGTTTGCTTTAATAATTTTTATATTTAAGTGTTCTGAAGAACACTTAACTGTATATGCAAGTGTCCCAAATTATAAAATAAAAGTTAACTTTTTGTTTATTTAAGGGACAATGAGCTAGACTTGCTTAACCATCTACCTCAATTTGATACATATGTGAGAAATTAAAAATTCCAGGGTCCATTAACACCTGGAGGCCCCAGCTGCCTACTCATAAAGCTCAGGATAGTTTCGAGCATCTAAGCGTATAGTCCTTACAACTTTTGTAGGCCTCCCTTTTCACATAAGTGACCAAGTATTTATTTTCAATGTTTTGTTTATGTTGTTCTTATTGCCTTGATAGCAGAGGGCTTAGTTTTCCTACATATTCTCAAATAACTTTGCACGAAATTGATGCCGCTGGGTGAACTGTTTGTGCTAGAAGAGATTAACAGTTGGTTCACCAAATTGTCCAAATAACCTTCATAAGGCATCTGTCCATGGTCATACTTAACTTTGAGTGATTCCTTTTTCTGAAAGGAGAGGTTTCTTTGTGAGGATACCTTTAACTGTTCTCTTATGCTGTATTGAATCATGTCTTTATTTTCTTTCATGATTTAGGAGCTACCTTTTGCTAGCAAAAACATCCACCTTCCTGGTGGAAATCCAGGGCTTTGACCCCATGCTTTCTGGCAGCCTGGTAATGTGGTCATTCTTTAAATGTGTATATTACATGTATGGCTTCTGGATGTTGAAAATTAGGAACAATTGTAAAGTAGGATCTAGGATAGTAGAATAGATTAGTGCTGAATAAACTCATAACAGGAAATACATTCAAAAATGTTTTATTCTGTAGAGTTCATCCCTGACTTCATATCCATTCCATTTGTAGGTTGCAAGGATTAGTCAGCATGAATGTTAAGAGCTAAGTAGTTTTTGTTTGTAAGTTCATCAGCATGGGTTTACTTTCTTTTGGGTCCTGTTTAATAAACGTATGTAAAATTGGTATTGCATTCCAAGTTCTACATATCTTTTTTCCTTCCTTGTAAAACAGTTCGGGTTCGGAGAAAATCAAGGCGGCGATCACAGTGGGGTAAAGGAATTATTAAGAAAAGGAAAGTTAATAATTTAAAAAAAGATGAAGAAGACACCAAATTTGCAGACTATGAGAACCATACGGAGGACAGGAAATTATTAGAGAATGGAGAGTTTGAGGTAAGCACTGACTGCCATGAGGAAAATGGAGAAGAGACTGGAGACTTATCTATGACCAATGACGAATCATCCTGTGACATCATGGACATGGACCAGGGGCAGAGGCTTAACAATGGAGCAGGCACAAAAGAGAACTTTGCCTCTACTGAGGAGGAAAGTTCAAATGAATCTCTACTCGTCAACAGCAGCAGTTCCTTAAACCCGGAGCAGACCTCCAGGAAAGAGACTTTCCTTAAAGGAAATTGTCTAAATGGTGAGGCTTCCACTGACAGTTTTGAAGGAATACCAGTTCTGGAATGTCAGAATGGCAAGCTTGAAGTAGTTTCTTTCTGTGATAGTGGAGATAAATGTAGTTCTGAACAAAAGATTCTTCTGGAGGACCAGTCAAAAGAAAAACCAGAAACTTCGATTGAAAATCATGGAGATGATCCTGAGAAACTAGAGGCACTGGAATGTAGCAATAATGAGAAGTTAGAACCTGGCCCTGATGTGGAGGTTAAAGATGCAGAACTGGATAAAGAAGGTAGAGCTAATATTTGAAAAATCTTCTGAAGGTTTAAACTCCAGAGTTAATTCATTGCATATTTTATCTAGTTCCCAGTAGTAATAGTTGATGAATAATTATACCCCTCTGAGAATCTGTTAAAGTTTTCATCCCGTTCTCTAGAAAAGCGCGCGCGTGCACACACACACACACACACACACACACACACAGAGGCATGCACCAAATTTCACTGTAAGTTTCAGAGGGTGTATCGTTTCAAATGCATTGCTTTACTGGCCACTTACTCTTCTGCCTCCTGCCTGATTATCACCCCTAGCCTCAGGGATTTATGACTGAAAGCTACGTAAATCCACAGGTGTTAAGAAGATGGAATTCCAAGAAGAATTATTGGCATGGGCTGGGTGTGGGCAGAGAAGACTTGGTCATAATAGCAGTATGATATATTCGGAGGAGTAATATAGACCTAGATTAAATTACCACTCTTGTTCATTATAATCATGTGACTTTGAGCTCATTATTTACACTCTCCAAGCCTATTTATTCAACTTTAGAATGGTGGTGTTGCAGGGATTAAATAAATCGTGTATTTTAATTGCCTCTCGTGGTAACTGGCACATACTAAGGTATATTCATTCCAGGCAGTCATTGTTAGTTGAATCCAAGGGCCGTTCAGTCTAAAAGCCTTCATTGCTTTATAAGTCCAGTAGTGGAGTAAAGAAGCAGAGCACCATTGTCAAGTTTACCTTGTTCTCAGGGAATCAGAGTGCTCTCCCAGCTTCTGACTTCTTATGGCTACATGATTCATTTAAGAAGCAGCAGAAAGAGGGAGTTAAGGTTTTCTAGCCTGTCTTTGTTTATCATTATTCTTTAGCCCATAGCAGGGTCTGGGGTGAGTTGCTATCTAACTTGCTCAATATACATTTCCTTCCTGGATAGGTAGTATTATAGAAGGCTATCTTGAAATTGTATTATTTTCTCTAAATTGTGTGGAGTGAAGTGCACAGCTACAGCCTGGGATTTGGGCTATGTGGGAAAGGTTTTTTTTTTTGTTTTTTTTTGTTTTTTTTTTTTTTCCTGCCAGTATTTTAAGTCCTTTCGCAGAGTTAGGAAGCAGGAAAATATTCAAAGTCTAAGAATTCCTTTAATGGATAAAGAGAAATTTACTGTTCTTAAATGCCACCTGTTAAACATTTATCTTATTCTTCAATATTTAATACTAAAATAGTTTTCAGAGTGGTATTCATTCTGGGCTATCAGATAGACAGAACTTTAAAAATATGTTAAAGCTAGGGTTAAGTAATGAATATAATAGCATGGGAAAAGTAGAGAAGGAATCTGGTATGAGACCAAATGGGTGAGGATAGAGGAGTCTTTTTTAATGCTGATTTCTATGAGATTTCCATAAGCGTGCTGAAAAAGGCTTAAATTAACATTGTGTTCAGTTGGTGATCTAAAAACTGTAAAGATAATTGTGTAAAAGTTTGACCTGAAACTTTCATTTGGAATTATCAGGACAGTATCCTAATCTGAGTTTTCAGGCCTCTAGAAGTCCATGGATGTAGTAATGAGGATCAATATGATTTTAACAAAACTCCTAGCATATGGTAATTGAACTATGAAGTCTTTCACATTAAAGGCAGCCTGAAATATAAAATTTCTCTGATATATCATGATACATGTTTTTGAAGGTAATACTTTGGTTCTTTTGCTGTTTGTTTTATAAAGCAGGCATTGAGAAGGAGGAGGAGTTTAAAGACTTGGGTGTAAGAAATAAGAGGACTAATGTAGGATGGAGGCAGGTCCCTGCATTGGGACACTTAATAAATACGTTCTCCTTAGTGTCCCTGACATGGGCCGCATCCTGTATGAAATTCTGAAACAGTCCAAGTTTGTCTTTGTGTTCCTTCCCCTCCCTCACCCTCCTCTTAAGAGTAGTCCTACTTAGGGGAGCACAGGGCTCCATGGTCTACCCCTCAGAGTGCCTTGGTCCATGAAATTATGCTTAGCCACCTTAAAATTTCTGTTTATTTAGTGTGGCTGGTCTCAGCAAAATGTTAGAAGGAAAGTAATTAGATTATACTGATTTACTCTAAGGTAGGAAAGAACACCAGCCCTTTTACACTTTTAATGGGTTTATATTTTTAAGAAAAAAATGGTAAACTTTGGATCAATTTCTAATAGAATTTTAGGCAGTGTAACATATAAGAAATTTCAGGCAGTGTTTTAGGTTGGGAGGCAAATATGTAGACAGGTGGGCCCCGCTTTTGTTAGTATCTGCTTTTCTAGGTTGCTTCCCTTCTTCTGGTTCTGAAAGCTCCCAATTGTAAAATGATAGCTGTCGTAGAGTGAAGGCTGTTTGTAAGTCAGTGCTTAGAGGTGAAGATTGCTTTTATCTTCCTTTTAATGGATATGCTTATTAAGTGGTATTCGAGTATGACTTGACTTTTTAAGTTGTAGCTTAGTTTTCTTTAATTTGGGTTACTTAGTCTTACCAATAAAAAAAAAATCTACCACATTGGGTTGCTTTAAAAAACATCACTTAAGAATACACCCTTCCTCATTCCAAAAGGGATTTGTGGTAGGTAAAAGAATTTATAGCTGCTTAAGACTGATTTTTCTTAACTTTTACTTGCTGCAGTGTATTTTTTGTCTCAATTGTAGGTGCTTCTAAAGTAAAGAAATACCGTAAATTAATTTTAGAGCAGGCAAAAACGACAAGTCTGGAACTGGTTCCAGAAGAGCCATCTGAGCCTGTGCCTCCTCTTATAGTTGATCGTGAGAGATTGAAGGTAAGCTTAGCTATTCCCAGTCAGTTTTAAATGAATGGACGGAGATTCGAATGTATTTGTAGGCAATTGAATAAAACTAGTTTTCCTGCTTTAACCCTGAAATATAAATGCCTCAGAGCTTCTAGTAAAACAGAGTTACGTGTATTTTAAGGAGTTGAAAGATACGGGAATAGTCCAAGATATTCTAAGGGAATAATTTTAAGCCCTCGAATCTTTAAATTTCATGTTCACTGTTACATCCTAGCTTTATGGTGTTTATTGACTGGCCATTTGAATATACAATTTCAGTTTGACCAGTGAAATCAAATTACATTTTATTCTCTTCTATTTTTTCTTAGAAATTGCTTGATTTGTTGGTGGATAAAAGCAACAATCTGGCAGTTGATCAGCTTGAGAGACTATATTCTCTTCTTAGTCAGTGCATCTACCGTCATCGTAAAGATTATGACAAATCACAACTTGTAGAGGTAAGTGTTCAGTTTATCTGTAGAATAAACAAATATTTGCTTTTACTTGTTCCAAAGAAAAGAGAAAAAAAAGTTATTTTGCCTACATCTATGTCTTTCACCAAGTAACTGAAAAATGTTTTGAAGATTTAAGAGAAGAATCTTTAAGAGTTACAGTTTGAAGAATAAAGCCTTTCTGTACCATTTTGTCTCTGGAAAGAAGTAATCTGGGGTTCCTTTTTTTTTTTTGTCAAAACACAGACATCCATGGTTCTGGGTTGGTAAATATGGAGAAGTAGTATGTCACAGTTCTTTCCCTACTTGCTTATAACTGACATGCCAACTGAGCCTATCACTTGGGCTTGTTGGATGTGGTCATGGCCACACACTCCTTATCACTGCTTTCTAGGTAGCCACTGCCGATGTAAAGGCATTGGCATGGGCAGTGAGACCTATTTGCCATTAATGGTTGGAAGATAACTCAAAAGTCATCTTATTTTAGTTAAATCTAGTCCTGTAAATTAGCCATATGAAGAAGTGACTGTCCTTTTGCTTAGATACTTTTAGAGATGAGGCATTCCCTTTCTAGACAACTCTGAACCAAGGGAACTTCTTCCCATATAAGTATGAGCTTATATCTTTGTTTATATAAGTTCCATCATTAAACCACACTTCTGCCTTTTCAGGTCATCTGAGCAAATGTAATCACTCATCTACTCACAAAATGGCTAAATGACTTAATTCAGCTCTCTTTGTTGATTTTCCTGTTTGTTTGTTTATCTGGGGGGTCTATCTATTAAATGTTTATTGAGTACCTGCAGTGCCAGATGCTGTGCTGGGTGTTTCGAATGCAAAAAATGAGTAAGACAAAGTCTCTGCTCTCAAAGAATATTTTTAGTATATTAAAGATGTATATGTAAAGGATATAGTTATTTCTCATGTGTAATTTTCTTTTCTTATTTGGCAGTATATGATAAAACATTTAGCAGGAGTGATTTTTGTTGACCACATGGAAGAACTTGTTGATCAGATGATGATCTGTTAATACAGCCTATTAGTTCTTCAGAGATGTAGAATAGAATTTCTTTGGAGCTGTTTAAAGGGAAGGAAAAAATGCAAGTGTCTTAGATGTATTTGACATTTGCCCACCTGAGTAAAATGTGCGGGGTAGAGTTCTTCACAATTTTTAAAAATTCTAGAACTTCTTTGTTCATATGGTTGCAGTTTTATTAGCTTGAATGCATTAAATACTCGTCACCAGTGAAACATCTCAGTGTGGAACCCTAATAATCTAGAGGCCTGGTTTAGGGAGGGAAGGGATTGATAACAGAATCAGCAGTGAGTGGCTTTCATGGTGGTGGTGATGGAAGCCACTCATTCTGGCTTTTTTTTTAACTGTCTTTTCAGCTCTGGTTGGAGTGAATGGAAGTGGGAACACAGTGCATTCTGCTTTTTGCCATAAGTTTCGCTATACTGAATGCGTTCATTTTGCTTTGGGAGTTAGTGAAATATAATGAGGAAGGAAGGGCTCAGTCTCTGGAGTGAGGCTGCCTGTATTCAAATCCTGACTGCCACCTGTTAGCTGTCAAATTATTTATCCCCTCTGTGCCTCTGTTTCTTTGTCTGTAAAATGGGCCTCATAGTAATACGCATGTTCAACCTTCAATGTTAGGGGAGTTAAAACTATATATATAAATTATATATATATATGCATACATATAAATACAAATATTTACTTATATTTATGTATTTTATATATAGAAATTTCTTAGTAAGTATCTGGTGTAATAAGTTACTCATTGAGTGTTGCTATCATCATCCTTATATTCATATTATTCATATCCTACCTCATACTGATACTGCTGGCATAATAAGTTAGTTATTTGTTGAGTGTGACCATCATCATCATCCTTACTGGCCTAAATGTAAAATAGGAGGTACTTGGAAGTGTCTAGGGGAGATAGTCTTAATTAGCTATGGTATTGTAATCAGGGAAATATTCAAAGTTTAACCTGTATCTCAAATTCATTCCCTAAAAATTTAAAGTGAATTCTTCCATAATGAGGAACACTTTTGTCTTTCCCTTAATAGATAACATGCATTTTTTTTCCTTTTATAGGAGATGGAAAGAACAGTTCATATGTTTGAGACATTCCTATGAACTTTTCAAGATGAGTGGTTTATCCTCTCCAATCTGCTCCTGACAGAGCAGTCTTCTGAGCCATTCAATTTCAAATTGCACCAATTACGTGCAGAGCCTTGGTGTAAAGTGCTCTCTCACTCATTCTTTTTCTCTGTTGAATTTGGTGCTATTGTCTCAGGTACCTGAAACCAACCAGCCTACAAGAACCAAACAGAACTTCAGAAACATGTTGTATTTTCCACAAATAAAAAATACAACCCCACAGCTTGGAGATTTTGGTGCTACAGAAACTGCTCTCGCTTCTGCTCCTCTTTTTGTGCACTCTCTTTTGGAGACTCCTCTCTTAGGGAGCAGACCAGCAAACAGGAGGAAACTGGATGGGGCAGTTCTAACTGTGTTGAATTGTTTAAACAGTGGGCAACTTTTTTTTTCCCCTCCATTTTATCCCTTTGATCATATTTTTCCCCCATCTGGGTAATGGACTGAAACCTGTTTTAGAGTTGGCTATGGTCTATTCTGGTGGGAAGCTGAAGAAACTGGATGAAATTAGGTCAGGCTCTTTAGAACTGCCTTTAACGTGCCTTTTTATTCATTTGAGGAAGATAAGGCTAAAAGGATGGGCTGTTTGAAGCAAATAAATTAGAAATCTTTCTTTGGTCACCACCTTGAAAATAAGTTTTGATACTGTATGTCATTAAGAGACAACCAGTGTTTAGGTATGAAATGCCTGTCTTATTCTCAAAGCTCAATCAAGACACCCAGTAAGCCACATAATATACTAAAATGGTAAGTTTTCTTGTAAGATCTGTTTTGGTTTAAGAAACATGTAATAACAACAATGAATAATACACAGGCCACACACAAAAAAACAAAAAACAAAACTCCACACATTTTGGTATTGCTGACAATGATGAGTAGAAAATAAATAGATAGTGGCCATTCTTTCTTCTGTCAGTGGCAATTTAATAGTTACTCATGTTTGAGTTCCCAGAGAAAAATGGTTTTCATATGTAGTAAATTGTTATTTTTGTTTTAAAGCCAGGACTTGCCAAATGGACAGAAAAGAGAGGAATTCGTCAGAAGCTCCATAAAATTCATTTTCTGTATGCTTAATTGCAAGTGAGCTCTGGTATGGTCCTTGAATAACAGTATTAATGTTTAAATCCCATCTCCTAAGCTTACCTTCACAACTCTTCATTTTGATTGGAAACCATTTTGAATCTTGTTGAGTGATTTCTGTGAATTGTACGTATCCGAAATTAATTATGGGTTACTAGTTTTACAAAAAACTTTCTACAGATTTGGAGACACAGTCTAGGCAGTTGCAAAGAGGCAAAGGGTGCAGTGACTTTTTTTATCAGATGATTTTTAAACAAAAAGATAGAAAATTTTGCCGACAAGTTGGCTTGATAGCTTCATTCATTGTAGCCGTTAGCTGCAGGTGTGTCTTTCCAATATATGCAACACATGTAGTTTGGGTTTTAATTAGGGCAAATGGTCTTGGACTACTGCAGAGATTCTGAGCTACCTCAGCTTTTTGTATTTTAGTTACCAACAGTGTTTACAGAGTCCTGTAATCACTTTGCCACCGTTTACATCCTGAAGCTAAGGTACTTGTCTCCTTGTCTCTGGCTCTTTGTAGTGTGCAGAAAGCATACTTTGGCCATAGCCTACTGCAGTAATCCAAAGTGCTTCTTTGCATTTACATTTACATCTAATGCCTTCTAATTCTAGCTTAATTTTTTTTTAAAAGCTACGTGTTTTCTTTGTACCTAGTCTGTGAAGTTTCCGTAATACCCAGTTAGTCATGTAAGTCAAGATGCTACCCATGTAGACACACTGTATTTTTAAGGTGGGCAAGTGCGATTAACGATGAACAATTTTAAAGGGGAGGTTATTTGAAACCTCTAATTTGATTATTGGGAGGATTTTCATGCTTTCTTTAGTATTTATTACCATCATACCGATTCAGACTATTTTATTGTCTAATACATTAGCATTTTGTATTTTGATGGAAATTGTTACAGAATTTAAAGATTTGATGAAATAAGATGTAGCAGATTTTTTGTAGCAAGTTTCTGGTAAAAGGGTTTTTTGCAAGTCTCAGGTTCTTGCTGCACTATTTTTTTTTAAATATTTATTCCAGTTATTCTAATTCAGAAGCATTCTTTTCAAGTAACAGCAGCACTTGTGAAAGGAAAAAAAACGCACACGTTTCTTATTAGGTTACTAAATTTGTACAATTAATTAAGATTTTAGCCATCAGTGAGTTTGACAAGGGAAATGTATTTATTTTCAGCATTAAAATGCTTCCAAAAGATCAAGTTGCTTTTGTTTGTTTTTTTAACTGTAATGTAGTTGGAGAAATCGGAGGCAACCTCAGTATAGGAACTGCCACTTTGAACAGTTTAGTTCTTAAAGAAAAAGTCAGTCTAATGCCAAGGGGAGAACAATGAGCTGAAATTGTACCAACTCCTCTGGCCCTCTTTCCCTCAATTAAAAAAACACACTTACCAGTTTTGCTTATTTTACAGATATCTGGTGGTTCTATAGTTTAAAGCAGCTTGTGAAATTATCTAAGTGGACTCAATTTTGTTTACCTTTCTGTAAGTTCTTCATTTTTGCTGTATAGCATTGGCAAAAATATGTACAAATTGACCTCTGTTCTTATTTCCTATTGTGAGCATTATAAATGATAAGCTCCTATGTAAAACCTTGCTCTCAGATGAGTAAAATATGTATCACAGCATAGCTCAGCAATAGTTCATGCTCAGCTATGGGGACCCTGGGAGCTTTTTGAAGATGATGGAACCGCACTAGGGTTGAAACTGATGGCTGTGGAGTTAATTGTGTTTTCGAGCTTGAATCTCACCTGTGA